CAAGGCCCCCACATCTGCCCCAAGTGCCCTTCTCCTTGGCCCTGGGCTGGGCACATGGCACAAGCTCAAGGTCCTAGGGGGTCAGGGCCAGTCAGGGCCAGACAGGCCTGGGAAATGAGCTTCCTGCTCATTCTGGCCTCAGGTTCTCTATTTGTGCAGAGGCGTTTGACTCCCTGGTGACGACCTGTGGTCCCTGGAGGTGGGATGGGAGGTGCAGATCAGAGACGCTGCCTGCACGGGCGCTGTCTCAGTGGTGTTGTGCGCGCAGCACCCAGTGGTGTGCATCTCTGGAGCCACAGCCCAGCAATAGGAAGTCAACAGCGGTCCTGCCTCCTCAGGAGTCCCCGCCAGTTTCTTGCACTTGCTGGGCCTCAGTTTCTCCACTTCCCCAGGGGAAGCTGCAGGAGTGGTTCCAGAGGCTGTGTGTGGGACCTACCATGGCTGGCGCGTGCCCTCCACCGCCCCGGCCCACCGCCATGAGTGCCCACCTGTACTGGAAGGTCATGTTGGTGATTTTGATCTTGATCTCCTCGCCCAGCCGGCGCTCACCCGTCATCTCGAAGAGCTTGCTGGCCATCTTCTCATACACCTTGGCGTTGCGCTTGGTTTGCTTGAGCTCATCGAAGAACTCCTCCCAGACAAGCATGAGGCCGCGCATCTCAGCATCCGTCCAGTTGCGGGCCCGCCGGTGTTTCTCCGTCTGAGGAGACACAAGGTAGCTGGGCACTTCGGCCGCCGCCATGCTGGAGGCACCTGTGGGGTTAAGGACGGCGCTCAGGCGGGGCCCGGGGCCCAGCCCAGGCACCATGGGCGGGAGGCACCACACTAGCTTGCTTGAGGCAGCTCCACGCTCAAAATGGGGCCTACATCTGACAGGCAAGAATTTAGTTAAAAGCTTTTAAACGGGAAACGTCATTTTGATGTCACGTTTCCATAGCAACAGAGCAACTGCATAAGCTACAACAACAGAAACCTTTTAACTGAAAGCACAAGAATCAGGGCCACACTGACGGGCCATCAATATTGCAGGGAGCACTGGGCCCAAACGGGGTGTCTGCCCCAGCCTGCCTCCCTCCTGCCGCCCCACCAGGCCTTGGTTGCTGGGGAACTGTGCAGAGAGGGGCTTCTGTGGTGCCAGCGAGGTCGGAGGTAGGGGCCAGGGCAGCCCATGGGCCATGGGGGTGGCACAGGAGGACAGTGTGGTCCCAGGAGATGGGCCAGGGAGGTGGGGTAGGCAGATCAGCCCAGGCCAGATCAGGCATGCTGACCAGATCAGCCAGCTACACACCTCCTTGGCGGAGGCTGGGCCAGAATTCAGGGGACAGCACGAAGACCCCTCCCACCTTTGTCCCATGCTGCTGCTTTTCTATCCACCAAACAGGCTGGCACTGAGGCACCAGACTGACTCGAGCCAGCCCCCACTCAGTGTGCCCATTAGGGAACTTGGACACTGACTTTCAGCATAGGCTGGGGACAGGGAGTAGCACTGGGGGCAAAGGGAAGCTATGGGTGGAGACAGGAGAACAGATCAGAGGGTGGCACCGGGAGGGCCAGCCAGACCAGGTGGAAAGGCAGAACTGTGCAGCAGGCAAACATGAGCGTGAGGGCTCCAGGCTCTGTGGCACTGAGGGACTGAAACACCAGCAGGGCCAGTGGGGACCTCAGCCAGAGGAGCTGGGGGCAGGCAGGCTGAGGTGCCACGAAGGCTGTGGAGGGAGAGGGAGAGCGTGGCCCCAGGGCACAGCCAGGTAGCTTTTACCAGGGGAAAACGGGGACCGCACAGACCCAAGGTCCTGTGCTGGACAGACCAGAGGCACTTGGCACCCAGACTGAAACTCCCTGGTCAGTACAGGACAGCGGGTGCTGCTGTCCTCCTTGGCTTGACAAAGGCGGGGAGCTGAGTGTCGCACGTCCTCTGTGAAGCGCTCCATGGTACTCCGTAGGAGGCCTGGGTGCCCAGTGTGGGAGGACCCAGGCTATCAGCTCCCTATCCCATGGGGCGTTCTCTTGCTCGGAAGCCCCTGGACAGCTCGCTGTGCCACTCTGTGGGTCCCTCTCCTCTCTGAGCCCTGGACCACTCTGCCACTGACAGCTGTGCAGCCCCCGTAGTCTGCAGGTGGGACTGCCATGTCTCCCATGTAGGGCCCTTCCAGCCTCCCTACTGCCATCCTTGGCCCACTGCTGGCCTGTGGGCTCACTGCCCCCGAGCCCCACTTCACCAAGAAGCCCTGTTCCTCATGCACAGGTTTTAAACAGTAGGAGGCTAGGTACTCATCCTTTTGTCCCACCCCAGCTGTGTACAGAGGCAGAAGCGGGGTAATGCATGCCCAGCACACAGGAAAGACAGCAAGCATGGTCCAGGGTTCCAGACTCAGAGCATGGCCTCCCTTACTCCTGGCCCTTGGCCTTTTTCCTCATCCCTGCAGGGGGAGTGACAGGACCTGGCTGGAGATCCATGAACACCCAGTGTGGCCCTGGCTGAGGGGCCCTGGAGAGATGGTACCTTGACCCCTCTAATGTAGCCCCTCCCAAGAATCCTCTCAAAGGCTTCTGAGACCTCTAGGGGTACCTACCCGGTTTGCTTGAATTCTAAGTAGTCAAAGGGGGCAGTGCCACTCTCCAGGAAGAACCCTGGGGGGGTGTCAACCTTTCCTTCTCGGGCTGGCTTACCAGCGTTCCCTCTGGGGGCCTTCCAAAGCAGACCTTTTGTCTGGGTTTCCCCAAGATGAACTGGGCTGGCCAACCACTTGGAGTAAGCCCACAGGTGTGTCCCTCTAGGGGAGGAGCTCCATACCTTGGCACAGCTGCATGGCCTGCTGGGACCCTCAGTCACTGTGGGATTAGGCACCCGCAGCACCTGCAGGGAAAGGCAGTCAGGGCCTCAGCAGGCACCTCCTCGGGAGGCCAGGCACTGTGCTAGCATTCATCCCGGTCCCGCTGCACAGAGGGAGGCCTGTGCTCTCCAGGTCTGTCTCACCTCTAAGTAACAGGCTGGGCCCAACACCACACACGTGTTCACCGGGCGCGGATGACGCTGCCCTGCTGTAGGACACCAGGCCTGACAGGCAGGCAACGCAGGACTGGGCCTGTGCAGCTACGCATGGTGGGGAAGCTGAGCCTGTGCTGGTGGCAGGGGGGTCTGGAGGCTTGAGAACTGAGACTGGCCACCGCTGGAAGTGGGCAGTGATTGTGTGTGCTGGGGTGGTGGTGGTGCAAGCAGGGCCCAGGCTGTGCCAGAGCTGCCCTGCAGTGGGGGGACAGGGCGACCTTCTCAGTGGGGATACAGTGGGCAAGGTTCCTCCTCAGGCTGGCCTACCCCAGGGGTTTGGGGACTGGGCTGCCTGGCACAGCAGGGCAGCTGGGGACACTGTCTAGCTTCTGTGCTGGGCACTGCCACTCCCCAGACCAATTAGTCCTCTTCCCCTGTGGTCAGGCCACCTTGAGCCGAGGGTCACCAGAAGTTCCTAGCCTGAATACTGTCCCCACTGGACCTGGACAGAAGGGAGCCCCCTAAGGGGCCCCTGAGCAGATGGGGAGCAGGCTGAGGAGCTGAGAAGACAACAGAGGCCCAAGCATTCCACGAAGGTGGCAGACTCCAGAGCCAGGTGCCACAGGGCCCAAACGTCTTGGTGCTCCTGGACTGGACAGGGCTCCTGAGGCCGTCGTGCTCCTGGGCTGGCCCCTGGCCCCCTAGCCTGCTGGCTGCACAGGTCCAGGGGGCACCTAGTCCCCTCTGTGACCCCCAAGGTCTGGAGCTGAGCTGTGGCCCTGGTACTCACCTCACCTGCCGCTTCCTCATCACCGTGCAGGCGTGTGAAGGGTCAGACTCCTCACTCGGAATATTTCATAATGCTTTTCAGAGCCAAGTGATCATGGGTGGAAAACACCACTGCAGGTACCAAGTGTGAGCGCAGAGAGGGGCAGGAGAGCAGGTGTTCCCGGCACTTCTGGCAAGGTGCTTGCCCTCTGCTGTGCAGCTGGAGTGCACAGCGTGCTGTGGGCAGCCCTGTGGAGGGGCACTTTTCACTGGGCCTGGGCCTGGTTTCTGGGAACACCAGCTATACTGACCAGGAGTGCCAGGGGCTGGCTGTCCACACCTGAACCAGAGGAAGGAGTGCGCTGTTCCCCTGAAGTGATTGGACCACAGGCAGTGCTGAAGGGTGAGACCAATCAGGAGACAGATTCAGGCAGCTGAAGTGACCCCCTGCCCCACATCAATGCTTATAGCAACTGAGGCGGCAGCAAAACCCCATATGGCCTCCAGAGCCTCTGGGTCGAGTGCTTGTCACCCTGTGTGGAGAAAGGGGATCCGAGCCCCACAAGGGCCCTATCTGGCTGACTCTGCCATGGGGACAGTAGCTGGAGGGACTAGGTGGGCCATCAATGCTCACATCCTGCCCTGGGCAGCCCAGTCTGAGGTGGCTGCTTCTGCAGGCTGGCAGGCAAAGCACTGTACCCCAGGGTTACTACCACGTAGACCACCAAGCCTTGGGAGGGCAGTGAGCTGGACCAGGGGATGTCCTGGAGAAGGTACTTCTCAGGGGAAGGGCTGACAACCTGAAAAGGACGGGGTGGGCGACACAGACACAGTGGCCCAGCACAGGGGAGGGGGAAATGCCAGCTGTGCTGGGGACAGCGCAGTCCAGCTGGGCCAGGGGTATGGCTGTGAAGCACAGCACGGTCTGTGAAGCGGGAGGGCCAGATCTGTGCGGGGACTCCAGGTGAGGACACAGCGCTCTCTATCCCCCTGGTGACCATTGTGGAAGCAGGGGATGCCCATGTGGGAGGCCCCCAAGATGAGCTTCCAGCACCACTAGCCATGTGTGCTCTCACAGCCCATGCCTGCTGGGCTGCAAGGCGCCACGCAGGACGGTGTCTGCAGAAGCACCCACTAGGCTGGGCCTGAGCCCAGCCCTCTGCGCCTGCTTGTGCCAACAGACTTCACTGGACAGAGGCGAACAGTTCTCAGCAAGCAGAGCAAGCCCCACACAGCAATGACGGGTGGTTTGATCATTCCTTTAATTTGAATATACAACATCTGCAGCAGTTTAAAAAATTTAAATATACATCTTATGCCAGTCCTTCCTCTTGGAAGTACAGTCAGGGCTGGGTGGGGCTCCGGGACACGCCCATCACAGCCACAGCCCACAGCCTGCTTGCTTACAGCCCCTACGAAGGCCCCTGGGTTAGGGCCGCACCCGCAGGCAGATTTCTGCGGCCCATGACCTATCCACCATGTGCAGTAGAAGGTCTGCTCCCTGAAACACTTGGGGCAGGCCTTCAGAAATGGCATTAACACGACAGGCACACAGGGATGTTGGAACCGAGCCTTCCGGGCACCTCGCGTGGAGGCCAGGCTGAGCCCCTCCGTCCCGACAGGGGACGGTCCTTTCACCCTGCGCCACGCTAAGCGCCCCACCTGGCCTCAGCAGCGATCCAGGCCCTCCTGCTCCCACACATCACTCCAGCGGACACGGAGTTTGCCCAGCCTACACGTACACCCAGCTCTGGCCCCTGTACCCAGTGCAGAGAGGGAGGGACCAACCCAGGGAGGAGGCTGATGGAGACGGGTGCTTGCAGGCAGCTAGAGGAACTAATTCTACCTTACAAGCACACGGAGCCAACCCCATGCCAGCCCCACAGTGCTCGGCAGCAAGAGACATGCAGTTATTGCTGTGTGACCCACCCACAGGGCGAGCTCTCGGCCGGGACACTGTGGCTTCGTGGGAAGAGCTCCCTGGTGGGCACATTCTGGGTGTCGGGGGTGTTTCCACTCCACTCTTCCTCCTGACGGGTCCACGCAGAGAAATCATGAGCATGAAAAAGGGCACTTGCAGCTAGAAAGTCACCTCCATGTCAGTGGGGCCAGCAGTACAAGGGAGGCACAATTTGGAGAAGAAACATGCTTAAGTGCATTGCCAAATAATTTTTACCCTGGTTTCACTAAAATCTTTCCTGATAGTACCAGCAAGAAAACAAAAATACTACCCTGCCTCCCCCCAAAACTCGATCAAAATGACATTTCTGATAAAATTTGGGAATCCACAGCTTTGGAGCAACTTGATGGGAGTCTCGATCCTGTGTGCAGAGGTGACCAGGTGGACCACTTTCTCCATGGGGCTTCTCTAAGCAGGGACCCGTTCGTCATCTAGTCCAGGTCTCAGGTGCTCCAGTCAGGCGGTGACTACACAGCTTCCAGGCAGACCAGACTTTTCAGGGGGCTTGCATGTCTGACTTGAACTGTGTGTGCGCGCGTGCGTGGTGTGTGTGTATAAATCCAAGTGTGGGTATGCACACGCACACACATGGACCTCTACTTAGAAACTTAAGTGCTCTGGAGCACACAGATCTTTGGGTTGGTGCCTATGGCCAGAGGTGGGTTCCAGCCCCCACACTAAGATTACATGGTGAACAAGAGGCAGCCAATTAAACTCTACGCTGAGTCCAATGATGAGAATTCCAAGGGGCATGGCTCCAGAGTTCACATTCACAGTGTTACTTCTTACAATGTAAACATCTAGCCTGGAACAGCGTCCGGCCCGCAACACAACTGCCTCAGAGCTGCTGGGACAACCTGGGGGTGGGGCCGCAGAATTTTCCCACAGTTCCCAAACACTTACCAGCTTCCTAGGGGAAAGCTTGGATGAGATAGAGGGGCCCAAATCAGTAAGGGAAAATCAGTGACTTTTTAACTTCTTGTTAAAACTCCAGTAGTTTCCCTAGTCTTTCCCCAAACTGGATGCATTTCTGTCTGAGCTGCTGCTTACCAGGACGAGTTGGTCCTGGCTTGCTGAGGTCTCTTCTGGGACTGGCAGGAAAAGCTTCATGCTAGCCACAAGGGGCTGCCCATGGGTGGCCCTGCAGCCCACAGCAGTAGAGGACAGAGGGAGACTGGGGTCTCAAGGTGACACTGCAGACTGACACACAGCTAGCCAATACAAGCTGAAAGAGCTCTCCTCCTTGGCAGACTGGAATCAGCTCCAAGTGCTCTCCACTGACCACGACACTGCAGCATCTTCAGCAACTAAGACACTGTCTTTAGGACCCTGCCGACCAGTGCAGCAGTCACGCAGCCAGTGGGACTGCCCTCGGGGTGGGCAGCAGAGCACTGGACCTGCCGCACAGCACAGCTGGCAGAGCTCCAAACCACAGCAGGGAGCACATCGAGGGAGCCCTGCCTTCCAGGCTCACTTCCATTTATACCATGCAGCCCTTTGGCCTGGAAACCTGAACCAAGTCCAGGGACTGGGGCCTGGGTTAGAAGCAGAGCTGTCCCTGGGCCACAGGTGACTACCCGCAGGCCCTCCCTCATCATCCCATCTCCGTACGACCAAGATCAAGCCTCATTCCTGTGCTCTCATGGACAGATGTGCACTCTTCTAGGCTGAGGGAGGCACATGTGTGAGGGGCTGAAGAGCTGCTGGGGTTCATCTTCAGTCACCAAAACACTTCGCTTTGCTCTTGAGCACAGTTCAGACAAAACACAGGTGAGTGACACCTTGGGGGTGCAGGCCAGGTACCCATCAGGGTTCACTGTGCACATGAGGCAAAGGGACAGTGCACCTAGGACCACGTCCCCTGCAGACCACAGTCCTAGCCGCTGAACCAGTGTTGGAGGTTGCCAGCTTCCCACTGTAGGTGAACGGAGCCCTGTCTGTGCCTAACGAGGGACTCTGCAGTGGGCACAGAAGAGAGAACCCGCCTCAGTCCTCAGAGCCAGGCCCCAGCTGACACCTCTCCCCCTCCCAATTACACGGGGCACACAGGGAAAGGGGAAGAGTGCACTGCAGGGTTCGCAGGAGGGGCCTGCCCCGCCAGTTCAAGCAGCTATGGGAGGGAGAGTGGCAGCCAGAGGGCCTGGCCACATCCACAGACCCTGTCTCATGCAGCATAGGCCTTGCAAGTCACACACTGTACACGGGCATAGGAAGCATTACATTAAAATTAATCTCTTTACTGATATAATTAAATTTTAAGTCCTGAGAAGAAAACAGAGAAAGGGAGGCTGGCGCTGGGCGCCTAAAACCCCCAGCCTGACTTGCCACGCACCACAGCATCAAGACAAGGGTGTAGCAGGCACAACCCACTGGGGAGACGCAGGGTGAGCTCTGCAGCCCACGGGCGGCGCATCTGTGGCCAAGGAGGCCAGGGCCACCTGCAAGAGCAAGGAAGGGCTCCTGCTGTGTGAACACCAGGAGGAGTAACACCTGCCAAGCGCATGGCCATGAGCACAGGACTCACGTTCAACCCCCACCTGCTGTGTGCGTCCTCCCCTGCTGCCGCCAAGAGCGCCTCTGTCATGGGGGCAGAAACGCGCACATAACTCGACCACTCGGTGACGCCAACAGAAGCCCGGCAGAGGCAGGGCTCGCTCAGACTCCCAGGAGCCCTGGACCCAGTGGCTGCCTCCCCTAGGCCTCTGCCAACACGGAGGCTCAGCAAGCGGTGACCTTGTGGACACTTCGCAAACAAGTCAGCAGTCGATGGTATGGGCTTCCTGGGGCTGCAACCACCTCAAACACAGACTGGAAGGCCCTGCGGTCGAGCTCCTCCTCTATCTGGTGTCTGTAGAAGTCTGTGGCGACCAGGCAGAAAAGGTTCACATCCACCTGCTCCAGCTTTCCCATCCGGCTGATGACATGTGGAAGGCTGGCAGTGGGGTCAAGGAGAACACCGGAAGGCAGGGAAGATGACGCCCCACCCAGGCCTGCAGACCCAGCCAGGGAAGCCAAGGTGACTGAGGCAGCCTGGATTTTGCCAGCAGCAGTGGCCACCTTATGCTGACTCCAGCTATCAGCTGCCTGTGCCTGCACGGCGGGTGCTCCCTCACCCGCTGCTCAGAGCACTCTGTGCGCACTTACCTGGCCAGCTGCTTGGTGCAAGGAGGCAGAGCTGGCCCGGCCTCCCAGCTGCCCAGCTTCCCGGGCAAGCTGTGTGAGGCTGCGCTGTCAGCACAGCACAGCTGCTCAGAGGCTCCTGCGGTCTGTCTGGGGAAGGCCCGCAAGAGGGAACTCCTGGCAGGCAGCGCTGGTGGTGAGGTCGAATCTGTACTCATGCCTCTCCCCAGGAGGGCAAGCACAGCACAATGACAAGAGCTAATGAGAAGCAGCACATAGAACAACCCAGCAGCCTGGCGACCTGAGCAGCCAGCAGCCCTGCCCCGCCTCCCTGCCCCGCCCCCAGCCCAGGCTCCTTCACACCCTGACCCTGGGCAGCCCTTCCTGCCAATGGCTAGGCCTTCTGTTTTGTGTCCCTGTCAACCTTTTTCACCCCTGTGGTGGGCCAACGTTGTTCTGACCTCACAGGGCCCTGCAATGTTAGGTCTCTAAGCCTTCACCACTGCCTAAAACTAGATACCACAGAACAGTGAGGACTGGAGCTCAGGGGAAGACCCAGGAAGGATACATGGCTGACACCCAGGGGCTGGTGGACGCGCTGACAAAAAAGCAGGAGAGGCTCCACATGGCCATGGCCACTGGGGTCCTCTGCGTGAAGTTGGACAAGGACAGCATGACCCAGTCCCGGACCATGGATGACTGTCCAGCACTGTGCAGAGTCTGGAACACCTGGGAAGGAATGTGGCACCTGAGCGCACTGGGCAGTGGAGGGGCATGTATGCTCCCAGGGCCACCAGTCCTGGGAAGGAGCCTGGCCCTGGTGGCAGAGGCCTAGGGTTGACTCCACCTCAGACCCTCACCTTGTATACGACGGTGGCCATGAACTGTGGGTATGGCTGCTGGTTGGACAGAAACTCTCCAATGACCTTGTTCATGACGTCCTGGGGTGGGAAGAAGTCATCCAGAAACTGTGGCAGGATCCTTGCCACCACTCGGGCTTCACAGGGGAAGCCCTTCCTGATCCTGAGGGGAAGGGAACAGGTCAGAACCCCACTTGCCCCCAGCTCACCTAAGCCTGTCTGGGGGTGCTGACATGGAATTGTGGTGCAGACTGAGCTACCCTCAGGGATGTTCCAGGTGGGGCACAGGCTGCAGTGAGGGTATGACTTTAGAACTAAAAGGCAAAACCTTGCTCTCTGGTCATCCCCTTCCCAGGGGTAAGGACAAGTGTGCTGTGCACAGGTGTGGGCAGTGGTGCAGGGGGTGCGCAGGCCAGGTAGGGAGATGAGCAAAAGCAGCTGGAGCGTTGACTCCTCTGTGTCTAGACGCTGCATGGTATTTTTAACTCCACAAGTCTAATGTGCTGTCAACCAAGATTTTTCTTCCTCTCGAACCTGGACCCCACCTGGGCTTTTGGTGATCTGTACTGCAACAGACCCTAAGACTCAGCCTTGGCCACATCCTTTCTGATGTGGAGACAGTGACCTGCAAATACACTACCTGTGTCCACAAGACCTTGTGATATGACCGAGATGTGGGAAGTGGCCCAGAGCCTGGGGACACCTCCTGAGCCTGTGCCCAGCTGGCCTGCCCGCTGCTGGAAGAACTCAGCCAAGGGTCCAGCTGTGTGCCAGCCCACACCTCCTGGAGGCCTCTGCCGAGCAGCTAGCTGGATGTCTGAGCTCGTGGACAGACTCTCTGGTGGTGGAAGAAAGGCTGCAAAGCTCACTCTTCAACTCAGTGTGTAAATACACAGCTGTGCAAAGGACCCCTTTGTCTGGAGGGCACAGGCTGGGTCTCTGAGTATTCTGGGGACAGCTGGTAGCTTCTCACTGGCCAGACCGCATGGGCAGAGCAGGCTGACAGGCCACAGACCTAGTGTGTTTCTGGGATCAGGCGGTCTGAGGAGAAGCACGGGGCCTCACTCTCAAAAGTGTGATGCTCTCCAAAGCCAGCATGGAAAGCCACACCATCACAGCCTCACTCTTTCTGGGCTGTACCCACAAACCTCTCAAGTGCAAGGTGTGCCTGGCTCATAAAAGGCAGCATGGTGAAGGGCATTTCTTTCACTGCTCAAGTCCTGAGGCCATACCCCAGGACTCTACAGGAGAATGGAAGCAAGGGGACCGCCCTGGAGGTGGTCATCACTACCCTCATGTGGGGCCAGGCAGGACCAGGGTGTAGTGGGGAAGCAGGGCAGGACCACAGCCAGAGCTGACTGGACACGCGACATGCACGAGCCACTGCTGTGGGGTCTGGCTTGAGGGCAGGAGCCAGGCACAGCACGGGTATACTTCTCACCTATCGAAGAGAACAGACACCCGCTCCATGGCAACAATAACAGACTCGCTGTCCGGGGCTGCGGGGTTAGGGTCTGAAGTCCTGCCTGGACTGGCTTTTTCCTTTCCTGAAATAGCAGCACCAGAAGATTAGATGACTGAAGGCCCAATGGCTCTGAAGAGGGTGGCTTGTGCACAGGAACTTAACAGAGCTCCGGGCTAGGAAGCAGGTGACTGAGCCCTGGGCAAGCCAGGATCCTGCACCGACCCCACGGCTGGGTCTCAGGAGTGCAGTGCCCCACAGCAGTTCTGACATCTACGTACATCTATGTACTTGGGAGCCACCTCGGCCAGCCTCCTGCCCTGGGCTCTAGAATGTTGCCCAAGGTGACAGGGCTGGCTCAGGTCCCACATCAAGGGACCTTTAAGGAGCTGCACAGAAACTGTACAGCTGACCACACTGGCTTGAATGAGTGGGTGGCCCTCAGAGTTGCTCACCTGTGTACATGCAGGTGAGCATCAGGCCCAGGGCAGCCATGGCCCGGTGTGGACTGTGCACGTTCACTCTGTCCACGCTCAACTTGACCAGGGACTCTGCATCCAGCCGGGAGAGCTGCTCAGAGAGGAGGAGGCGCTCCAAGCCTCGGAGGGCGCAGTGGTAGATGATGGAGGGAGTGGACTCCTCGCTGCCAGAGAGCATCGCCCCACACATCTGGGCAAGGAGAGTTCATTCCCATCTTCTCCTGACTCCACAGGCCCACTGGGGGATCCCGCAGGAGAAGCCCAGCTAAGCCCCACGCACCTGTATTATGGATGCTGAAAATTCAGGCCCCACATCCAGGGGATAGTTCTCAATGAGATAGAAGGCAGTGGCACACATCACCAGCACATGCTGCTGGCTATGCACGTTTACGCAGCTGAAAAAGGAGACCACGAAACTCAGCTTGCATAGTGGCCACTCCCTGTGCAGTGGGGGGGCTTCCCAGGGGCCCGGCCCCGCTGCAAGCATAGAGCCATGGGCCATGTCACTCTGTAGGCCCTCTTGGCTGGCACCTCTTCTTCATCCTTGTGCAGGCCAGCCCCTTCCTGCAATGAGTGAGGGGGCCTGTGGAGCCCCTCAAGTCAAGTAAGTCCCCTCTGTCTCCTCAGGTGCTGACCCAGGTGGTTCTTGCTACCTTGTAATCCTGAACCGTGGGATCCCCAGCTGGCCTGTGCTGGGCAAGGGGACACCATGGGAAGAGGAGCTAGCATGCCACCAAGCAGGCGAGCCCACAGGACGCTCCCCAGTCTCCCAGGACCCCACCTCTGCCATCTCCACCCAGACACTGCCAAACGAGCCCCACCATGTTCTCAGTGCCCCTCAGTACCTGCATGCACCTGCTTTGGGCCACACTCCAGTGGACAACGGCCAGCTGTCTGGCTATCCTATTCACCTGAAGCTCACCATTCAGTAAGGACAAAAACCAAGGACCTCCCTACAGGTCATGCCACCTCTGTCCCAGACAAGATGCCTTCCAGGTGCCACCTTCACTACCCTGCCTTCCCAAAGTGCACACCTGTGGACATGTCTGACCTGTGGAAACACAGCCACTCACGGCAACCAAGGCGCTCTCTGCCTCATGTCTCACTGGCTTCCACCCCCCCACCCCCCGAGGAGGGCACCATCTGGGTTCCTGCCTCCCGTCAGGCCAGGGACCTGCTGCAAGTGCTTGGCCCACTTGGAGTCCGCCCCCCTGCCCAGCCTGACCCACTCACTGGGCTGCCCCCTTGAGGCTGGACAGCAGGTAGTCACTGATGACTGGGATGAGCTGCTTGGCGGTGTCATCCAGGAGGTCGCACTCTAGCACGTAGAGGATGCCATGCAGGGCTCCGATCTGGCTGGGCAGGTGACTGCTTCTGAGGGTGCTTTCCAACAGGCGACTGACTGGCTCTGCCACGGCCTTGTCCTGAGTACAACCAGAGATGAAAACTGCTTAAGGTGGATGGACAGCTCCCATTTCCTTGCACCCAAAGGGTTGTCCCCAAGCCTCCATGGAGCTGGGGACAGCAGAGTTCTCACAGTTGGACTCTGTGGGTCCCCAAGCTCCCCAAGCCCGAGGTCTCACTGGGTCCCACAAAAGCAACAAGAGGCCATCAGCGACCCTGCTCTCTGTGGAAGCCTGTGTCCCACTGCCTCTGTCCATTACTTCCATCCCCTCCACGTGTTGGCACCACAGCACCCAGAGAGCCTGTGACATTCCTGAGGACTTCCCCGCAACCCAGCCTCAGTCCACTTTTGCATGCACAATACCAGGATCTGCTGCGAAGGGCAACAAGGGCAAAGACAGCGGCACACATGGCCACAGGATGCTGTCTGCAGCTGAGCAGGACAGCAGAAGCCATATACAGGCGGCCAGTTGTCTTTGGGAACATTCAGGGGCACAGAACAGGGCGTGGGGCCCATCCAGCAGTCTGCCTCAGGATCCATTTATAAAATCATTACTCCTGACTTACGCATCTGACATGTGCCTGGGGATCGGAGTCTGGGCACAAAACCACAGCAGACTAGCTGCAGAACCCCTCCATGGAGAAGAAAGGGCCTCCCACATATTGGGCCACTTGGCACCGCCCTGGCAGCACCCAGAGGGCACCTCTTTGAAGACTGTCCCCACAAGGCGAGCAGTGAGTGCACTGTTCCTGAGCTCTGGGCGGTTCAGTCACCCACGGGGCCCAGGCCCAGGCCACCCACAGGGGTGATACCTGCTTCTGCCTTGGCTCAGTGAGGACATTCATGGGGAGTGCCTGGGAGGGGTGACAGCTGGGCCCTGCCACATCCTGTCATTGGGTGAGGCTATGGATGAGCTTAGACCAGTGTACAGGAGGGACAGCTCAGCAGAGGCTGGTGGCTAGATGGTGGCACATGGAGTGGAGCCCTGGCAGGTTCTCTACGTGGCTCCTGTCAGGGCCCCCAAAGCCTAGCACATGACAGGTAGTCTGTCCTGTGTTCTATAAGGAAGAACATTCTACTGCTATTATAAAAACAGACCCCAAGAACATGGGAATCAGAAACATTACAATTAGGGGTATACTATGTAAAGAAAGAGCAAATGGACACCAGTTCCCACAGCTGGAGTCATCTTTTCTGACAGTGGTGTCGGTAGGCTTCACTACACTCTACTAAGGCGCATGCACTCACGATACATCAGTGGCTGCCACTCAGCGACATGTGCCAGGACGGAGCTGACCTTGGTACACCAGCAGCAGGTAAGAGGGAGCTCATCAGGGGCTTCCCCCAGTGCCAAACGAGTAGTGTCCTTGTCATAGGTCCAAGGGAGTTTGTTTACCCTGTCCCCTCTGTGCGCAGCAGCCCATTGCAGGCGTGGAACCTGCCAGTCATGCCCTTGGATTTCTGGCCTCAGAACGTGAGTCGTGAGCTTGCTGTTCATGAGTAACCCAGTCTAAGGTGTTTTCTATCACAGCACAGATGGACTAAGGCACCCAGCAGACTCCAGTGCCCAAACTGTGGGAGTGGACTCGCACAGTTACTGTCACAACCGTGTCTGGAGGAGACTGTCAGCTGAGAAGCAGGGGACCCAGATCACATCAAGAGGAGGAGAATGGGACTGCTGAGCCACAGGCAGACGGAGAGGCCAGTCATGTTCCCACCACCTATGCTGTCTCCAGGCCATCATACAGCTTATGGTCCTGTGCGGACAGACAACTGTAATGACACAGAACAGGCTCAGACTCCATAGCAGGACACAGCACCCTGAGGGATGTCCCTGACAGGAACTTGAGGGTCCAGCTCAGGATGTTTCTTGCTAACACAGGTCCCAACCAGAGCAGGCCCAGGTGGCCTCTATGCTGTCCCTTACTTACCATTCCAAGGACAGCAGCCGCCTTACAGGTGGCTGGCACCAGGTACTGGACAAGAATCTCATCTTCTGGAGGGTGTGCCCGCCGCAGCTCCGTCAGTGTCGCATACATCATCTCAAATTGGCTGCGCTCAGTGAACAGGTCTGAGACTATGAGAAGCTGTGCACACAGAAGGCAGAGACAGGAAGGGAAGCCAGGCCATGAGGATAGGGCCCAAGTGCCACCAGGACACGGCTCATTCTGATACCCACTGGGAACAGAAGACGGGAACTTCCAGTGCCCTGACTGGGGAGACATCAGCCTGAACCTGGAGACCTCAACCACATGGTGGAAAACGGCCCCTGGGGTGTCTGTGAAAGTCTCTGCACACACAGAGGGTGAGCTGTGCGGGAACGCCTGGCCACCGGCCTGACCCCTCAGCTGCACTTCCAAATACTAGGCCCTGCCTGCACTGTAGGGGACGGGCCCTTCATGAGAACCACTGGGAGAGACGCTTCGTTACTTGCTTCAGAAACAGAGGTCTGGCTTCTCATCTCTGCTCTGTACACTCCTCAGCAGTCAGCTCTTCACCTCACACCTGACCATGGGGACTCGCTGGGTGGCAGCCCATGCTCTGCAGGAGTAAGCCGGTAGCAGGGGCTGTACCCACACCATCTAAACCAGCATTCTCCAGGGGTCCCCAGGATGCCAGCTCCCCCATGCCTTTTGGGGGCTCACGGTCAGAAGGACTCTTTAACAATAGCAATGTGGTACTGACCTTTCCGTTTCATTCTCTCCCAAATGTACAATGTAACTAGCGGTTACTGGTTGCTAACAGATCAAATGCCTAATAACACATATCTACATTTTATATTTCCAAATATTTAAAGACTCTAAATTTTCAAAAATTATCTCTTGTAAAAGTTATGATTACTTCAAAGTGTACTAAGCATTTTACTTTGCAAAACTGCCTAGTTTTCCCTTGCAGCCCTGAGAATACTGACAGCTCCCGTGCAGAGGCAAAGGCCTTAGGGCCTGCACTAGCTACACAGTGAAGTCCCCAAGACCCTTGTCTGGGACAGCTGCTTGACCTGGTGCTTACTCCTCACCAGCATAGGGCAAGAGAAAGCAGACCAAAAGAGGATGAGCCCTGGGACCTGAGGCAGAATGAAATGTCCCCAACTTCTCCTGTGCTGCACAGGGCCACTGCTGCTGCATTTTTTGTTTTGGTTGTTTAAGTATATGGTCTCACTACACAGTTGGGACTCGTAGTGATCCTCCTGTCTCAGCTCCCCAGTACTGGAATTATAGGCGTGTGCCACTATGCCCAGTCTCAGAGGCTGGCTCAGCACACCCAGGGGTGGGGCCAGCACAACATGTGGTACCAGGGATCAAACCCCAGCCCCTGTGCTTGCCTAAGAAGGCACTTAGTGCACTCAGCTATCTTGCCAGCCCTGCTGCTGCAGTTTGGATGTGGGAACTCTGTCCCTTTAGCTGGTTCATTAATACTACTGTACCATGTCTGGGTGTCCGTGAGGTTCCACCTGGGTTCTCAGTGTATGTGGGGGGTATGAGCAGCATCATACAGTGTGTATCTAGTACATGAAAGTAGGAATGTGTGGCAGTGTGTTTTGTGTCTGTGTGCTCAGGGATGTGTGGCTCTGGGGGATGCATGTGTAGCATAAGGCTGAACTGCACAGGTGCGCACTCCTGGAGAGGGGAATGGGGAAGGCACACATACAGAGCGAACCACTTCGCTGATCAGGATGACTGGCGTCCTTCTGGCTGAGCTGGAGGGGAGGAGCCAGCGGCTGTACAACTCGAGCAGGAACTGAGAACAGGAGTGGATGTCGACTCCAGCCCGATGTTTCCTGCAGAACATGCGACACAGATAGATCGCCACATGCAGGTGAGGTCACTTCAAGAAAGAACCCACAAAAACTGACACCAAGCCAGACATAGTGGTACATGCCTGAAATCCTAGCACTCTAGGGGACTGAGACAGGAGGATCCCAAGTTTGAGCCTAACCTGGGAAATTTAGTGAGACTTTATCTCAAGAGAAAAAGAAAAAAAGTCTAGGGGTGCAGGTGAGAGTGAAGGCCCTGAATTTAATCCCCAGAACTAATAAGTGAAAAAATAAATCCATAAAGAGGTTGGTGCATACCTGGAGTTGATGGGAGATGTGGGTGGGGATGCAGCCGCAGGGACATCTGCTTCCTCCTCCTCTTCCTCGTCCCACTCCTCCTCTCTCAGGGGGGTGATGTTGTTCCCTAGCCACACAGAGTGAATGGACACCTGCCACAGAAACAGGACCCGCAGCTTGCCACTTGGATTCTGGAGGGCAGGCACGACTGGTCCTGGAATGAACCCAGACCAAGCACACCTGCTGCACGAACAACCTCCCACGAGAGCTGTCAGAACCATTTAATAAGGGCCAGACTCCCACAGACAGCTTCGTCCTCAGGTTCGAGGCAGCTAAGGGGCAAAGGAAAGCAGCAGCAAAGAGGGGTGACAGGCTCTGAGGCAGCCTCTGAATGTCGGTGCCAGAAACAGGCTGGTGTCCTGAGTGCAGTCCTGTGCAGTGGACCCCATCTGTCAGAGATGCTGTCTCAGAGAGGCCCTAGGGTGCTGGTGAAGCCCTGAGTTGGCAGGTGGCAAGGGGGAGGCAGGAGGGGATAGCAGCTGCTGGAGGGTCTCACTGCCTGCAAGGTTTTACCCACACATACATAATTATGTAAGAATGCCTTCGACTCTCTTTGGGATAAAGACTGTAAGCACAAACAAAAGTACAAGTCCCCTTTAGAAAGTCATGTAGGCTGGGCAGTCACTGGTACACTGAGGGTCCAGCTACTTAGGAGGGGAGGCAGGAGGATCACTAGTTTGAGAGCAGCCTGCGAATGTACTGAGATCTTGCCTCTAAATAAAAAATAAAAAGGGTGGGATGCAGCTCAGTAGTAAAATGCGTGCTTCATTTGCGTTAGGCCCTGCATTCAATCCCCAGTACCACAAGAAAGGGAAAAAGACAGAAAGGAGGCAGTAATGGGTGGGGAGCAGGAGGCATTCACCCCCTCTCCTGAGGTGAGTCGTGGCCCACACGTGAGGGCAGCTAGCTGCACGGCTCACCTGGCCCAGCTTGTAGCTCATGTTGCCTAGTTCCCGCTCAGGGTTGGTCTGCAGCAGCAGCTTGTCATGACTGATGAGGGCACCTGCAAAGCAACGCACCGAGAGCACCCTCTGCATGTGAGGCCCACCCAGGCAGGTCTGCTCCTGCCTGCTAGTGCCCATGCCGTGTCTTCCCATGGGCAGGATAGCTCGCTGTACAAAGCTCCATAGGGCTCAGGTTTGATCTTATGTTGGCAGGGCTGACTGGCAAACAGCACCACCACTTTTTGTCTTAACAAACAAGATCCTGCCTGAGCTTATGGGCCTGCTCCAGAAAGCCTGTCACCACTTCCCAGAAGCACGCCTAGAGTCATACACCTGTGGGCCTCCTAGGCCCACTGCCTCTGCTAGAGCTATCCACATTCCATGTTCATAGCTCGTTCAGGTCACTGTCCCAAGAAACCCCTAGGACATGTAACACCCACAATTTTATGTAGAACCTTTTCTAAAAAACACCTTCGAGATGCTTAAACTTGGTACCACCAGCTTTTCAAAAACAAGGGGATCATCAACCCAAAAGCTATGCATTAAGAAGTACTGATTAACAACGTTCCCTTGTTCCAAGCCAGAAGGAGGAGTTCCAGCGCCTGACGTGGGGCAGGCCCATCAGTGGAAAGTAGGCTGGAGCGTGCAGAGGCCAGTATGGGACCACCCACGAACGCCAGATTTCTCAGGAGAACCAGAGATGCCCATGAGCTACACACGTGACACTTTCGCATGAGCAGAAAGTGACTACATCCTCCACGACTACCTTCAGAACGTGTCAAGTTGGGTAGATGAGGCTCTGAGTTCACTCGCAGCTCTCACTTCCTCAGCACTAGACTGTCCCGGCATGGCTGCGATGCCTAGAGCACACTTGGCCACCCTCCTGTGCCGCAGCCGGGCCTCCTGCTTCACAGTCTACTGGGGACAGCAGTGACATGCTTGTTCTAGCCCCTCCTCCATACCTGTAGTGGCAGGCGACAGAGAAGGGACAGGATCCCATGCCTGGTATGAGTGATGGGTGGCAATATTCTCCCGCTTGGAAACCATCGCTTGGATTTCCTGCTCTACGATCCCTCTGATTATGCTCAATTTCCTCCCAAACCTAAAGTGCAAAACAAAAGAACCTTCTGCGTCCTTCAAATCCTACAGCAGAAACCACCAGCTTCCTCTCTGCTGTGCCTGAAGGAACTGATCTGTACGAAGGCAGGAGTTCATTTTGTAAATGATTGCTGGGTGTCACTCCTGTGCCACCAGTCCTGGGACTCAGCGATCCCCACACCATCAACTTCTCACTGACATGGAATCACTTCACATCTGCACCTCTGTAGCCAAGAGAGCTGCTGGCCACCGAGGTGGGGAAGGGTACCCCATTGTCCCCACAGTGGGACACAGCACACACAAGAACCAGGCCAACCTGGTATCAAGAGCTTTGAGGGGCTTGTTCCGAGGCTGCTGTTCCAGAGAGCTCACAGCTGGGTTGCCAGCAACGGGCACAGTCATGGCGCTGAGCACCAGGGAGGTGATGGCCTGCACGGCTAGTACGTGGATCTGGGTCCTCTCTGTGTCTTCCTGGAAGGACAGGACACACAATGACGACACAAGACACCAAAACAGCCAGAACTGCTGAACCTCATGAGCAGTCTGCAGGCCCCATGGCCTCAGAGGGACACAGCAGTCCCACCAAGGTCAGCTATCTGCCCAAGCTTCCCCAGCACAGAGAGAATCTCCACATATCTGCCTAGAATGAATCTGATGCGCAAAGCAAGGTCCCTCAAGGGCATGAAACTCCAAGTGTGGATTACTTTGTAAGGAACTGTCCTGAAAGTGCCTCACGTTAAGGGGTACTCCATGTGATGACCTGTTGCATCTGCAGGCAGATTTAAAACAGTACTGATGATTTGGGGCATGAGCCCATCCTCTGAACTGCTGTCTGTAGAGTTCCCACCATGCCTTCGGCTAGAACTGAGGACTCTCGACCCCTACTTCTAGCACCCCCGGCTCTGCTTAACAGAAACAAGGTTGTTATTCATACTATATGAATATAATACAAATTAACACTTCCAGATGAAGAATAAACTTCTAGGGGCCAGGGAGATGGCTCAGTGGAATAAGAGCTTCCCTGGCAAGCGCAAGGGCCTGAGTTCAATCCCTGGTTCTGCAAAACAATAAAAATAAACTTCTACAAAGTAATTAAAAAAGGAAACTGTGCATGTGCATGGCCTGGATAAATTGCCTTTTTTCATTTTAATTCAACTCACCTCTTTTGGATACTAGAAAATAAACAGAACGCCAAGGTATTTTCAAAAGAGACTACAACCTTACTGATCCTTCAGGTGAGTGCACATAATCAGACACCCAACCACGGCAAGCTCGGGTCCCAGACCTCCTCAGGGAGACTGGGCCCTGCTGGGGCTATCAGGCAAGTTATGATCTTTGGTGGGGGGTAGGTGGGTTGTTTGGGGTGTGGATTTTTGGTGGCACTGGGAATTAAACCCTCACATTGCTAAAGTTAATTCCCAGCCTTTTTGAAATTTTATTTGCAGACAGGGTATTTATCAATGAGTTGTCCAGGCTAGCCTTAGCCTTGCCATCTCCTGCCTCAGCTGCCCAAGTGGCTGGGATGACAGGCGTACAGCAGCACATCTGAAGCCGCTTCTTCCAGAATGCGTGCTCCTTCTGGTGGTCAACTGCCAGAATGTTATATGTGCCCAGAAGCTGTCAGCCAGCACATCTGTGTCTTGGCCACCTTACCTCAGGTGGGCTCTCCTCCTGCTCCATCACAAGAGGCTGGGTCACGAGGACTCCAAGAAGGGTGGCCCAAGTTTCCTCAAATTGGGTACGACTGGTCCACCCTGGGAAAGTAAGTCTCTTGTTAGACAATCCCACCCGTTCTCTCCTCTCCAACTTCTAAGTGGCCACAATAGCACACCAACAGGCTCCATACCAAGAATGCGACACGCAGAAACTCTTTTCAACCCTCATGACAGTTCTACGAGAGAGGGAAGCAATTCCCTTATCTCATCAACGACACAGGAGCACACAGAAGCTGGCTACCCTCAGCCCATGTGGCAGCAGAGGGACAGGGACATGCTCCCTGAGAGGTCAGTTGTCCTCAAGCCTGACTAGAGCCTGTTGATATGGCAGAGCTCATGGGCAGAACCACAGAGAATGGCTTGCACTGTGTCTTAATGACACTGTGGTTAGAGGCTCATGCTGCTGTCTTTCTCACCATGTCTTAGGAGGGACTACAGCATGGGGTCCAGGGGGCGAGGCCCACACTCAGTGTAGCCCATTGACGGGCCATGCCCTGTTCTCCCCAAACAGGGGAATCTGTGACACAGATGCTTCTGAGGTTGGTTGTGCTCAAATGCCCCAGAAAGACCTAAGGAGAGTCAGGGTACTCACCTGAAAGCCACAAGTGCCAGGCAGAAGGGAGAGGAAAATGAGAGCATCAAACCCCAGCCTTCCCCGCCCCCATGGAGACTGGCTATGCAGACATAGTAGATGCTGACAATCCACAGAAAGAAGACACATTTCTGTGTGAGGCAGGCTCTGGGGAGGCGTACACAGCAGCCTGGGCTAAGCAGGCCAGAGGATGACACAGGAAGAGGATGCCAGCAGGTGGACAGCCATGACCCAGGTAGGGCAGGAGAGGGCAGAAGGAAGCCCCCAAGGGAGCAGAATGCTCAGGAAGGGTGTGGTGCATGAGGTGGAGGCTAAGCAAAGATGTCTGCTGCTGGAACCTTCTAGGTCAGAACAAGCACAGAGCAAGCAGAAGGTAGCCTGATAGTGGAGTCAGGGTGCCAGGACAGTCTGCTTAATCCACACAGGAGAAAGGGTAGCAGAGACAGCATCAAAAAGGTGGGCAGAATAGAACATTCTGAGAAAGTCCCGTCACTATTCAGCCTATGTGGATAATAAAGGATGGGATCACTTTACTAGATCAGTTAGACACACTGCTGCCCTGACTTCAGACACCTCACATACACACATGCTGACAGAAATTTCTCACTCTCATAACGAGCCAGGCATGCACCGTGAAATGGACCCACACAGGTCTCCACAATGGTCTACATGTGACCTGGTATCGAGAGAGGAGCCCAGCCCTGGGACGGAGGCTCCCCACAGCAGGGCCTGGACCCCAGAGTGCTCACCAGTACCTAGAGTGTTGATGCGGTAGATGAACTCCTTGAAGACTTCCTTTTCCTGCAGGAACTCCACAGGAATCTCAGGGAACACAGTGCCAAAATCCCCTCCTGGCTTGGGGGACCAACCGAGTTTCCACACCTAAGGAGAAGAAAGGAAAGCATGTCACCAGATGGGACCAGGACAGCATACTGAAAAGAAAAAAAAAACAAAAACAAAAACAAAAAAACCAAGGAAGCTCACGTCTCCAGCCAGGCCTCCTGCCAGGACAGCCATCTTCCCCACCTGCTGTCCAGCCCAGGCGTCCACGGTTTTGTGGTGCTGCCCTGGTCTCCACCAGGCCGCTGCACCTCCTACTCGTGAGAGATGCTGGTCCAGCACAGCAGGTGTCAGACAGCACCCCATGCCTACAGACGTGTACCAAACTAAAGGCAGGAGTGAAGAGAAGCTCAGCCTTGTGTACACGTGTTCTGAGAAGTAGGCATGAAATCAAACTGTATGGTCTACTTCTGCAAGCTTTCTTACCTAGGTACTCACACAAGCTCTGCCCACAGAAGGACCCTGAGGCTAACCCACTGCTTTGCGAATAGCAGGATCAATGACTACCCAGCCATCTTGGTCACATCCCTCAGTGGAGCTATAGGGGCTGAGAGGCCACTCAGGATCCCCACAGCCCACTGGTGCCAGGCCAACCTCATCACAAGAAAGCCACCCACTGACCTTGAGGGTACCGCTAGTCAGGCTTCATGCTGCTGTCACAGTGCGCTCCCTGGCCAGGATGCTGCAGAAAGCAGCTGAGCCCCCTGGAGGTTTCCCTACAGCACACAGCCTGTGCAGCACAGCCCTGGGACTTCAGATAATGCACCATCTGGACTGGGCTTCCTTGTGCCATTTCCCATGCCCCTCCCTGGGACTTGCAAAGACTGCTCATGGTGCGATGCCCCTGTGCTACATGCTCTGGCAGCTACATCGGGCTGCCGTATGGGGCCCCAGAATGGGCCTGTGCACAGTCACCCTTCATAGCAAGACCATCACCCCTAAAAATAAATAAACAGGCTCACCAAATAGCTCAATGAACTAAAAGCGCCTGCCTAGGCAGAGCGCAGGGGCTGGAGTTAGATCCCCAGCTCCACAGTCATGCCAGCCCCACCCCTGGGACACACTAAGACAGTGACTGAGACTGAGCGTGGTTTTAAGCTCTTGGGAGGCTGAAAACAGGCAGATCACTATGAGTTCGTCTATGTAGTGAGACCTTGTACTAAATACATTAAAAAAAAAAAAGATCCTCACCCCTCCAGGTCCAGAGGGTGTCTGTGGGGAACTGCTCGGATTACTTCAGAGCTCAAGGGCGTCTAGGGACACCTGAGGGCATGGCCCTGCCTGTCCAGCACAGGCACTCCATAGGATACAGCCATGGACCCTGACACAGCACAGGTACACACATGCACTGGTTATTGCGCTATGTAGGGACGCAGACACGAGGGAACAGTTTGTGTGAGAATTACGCAGCAGTAACGCAGACAGCTCCCGTGTTCTCGCTCTGGCTCCTCTGCTCACTCCGTTTCATGCTGCTGTTTCTTTAACCTTGGGACCTCACTCGCGAAAATCTCCCTTGGGCCCCCCGAGCAGGCCAACAGTGCCCCTTCTTCTGGATGCATGTCCCCAGGACCTTTCATACACGCACCAGAGGGCGTATTTCAGCGGCAGAGGCAGGCCTTCGTCAGGTGGCGACAGTGGCCACCCTCAGACCTGCTGAAGCTGCCCTTTCTGACCTGCCTGAGACTGCGCTTCACTGCACTAGTGCAGGCCATGGGTTGGGCAGTTTCACCGGGGAGTGGTCATCCAGCTGCCACCAGCCCTCCTCACATGCTAGATGTCTACTGCGGTATCAAAAACAAGAGTCTAAGCAATGGTATTCTCTTTCTTACTATTCTAATGATAACTTCAAGAGAAAAATTGCGAAAATGCTTATGCAGAAATGCACTAGCATCTCTAAAGACAATTACTTCTGAAGAAAAATATGTGAGGCTGGAACTTCTAGCCTACTACGAGATACTTCAGAGTCACATACAACATCCACTATCAGTGGCGGGATCTTATCGGATGTATATGCCTCAACTCATTTTGGAAACCCCAGCACTTCCACTGACAGCACTGCACAGTATGTCTGAGGACACAGACAGATGTCACCAGAAGTGTGAATTTTACAGCAGGGACCAAATGGTCTGGCACAAATAAGCAGACTTACCAGGGGTGGCACTCGCGTGTAACTGTTGACCAGGGGCAGGCGGGCTAGGCTGACCACAATGTTCTTGAATACTGCTGTGAGAAACGCGGGCATGCTGCTGTTCCTCTTGTGGCCCAAGGCTAGCACGGACTGCAGTGACTCCACCATCTCTGCCACCATTTCACAAGCCGTGGTGATATACGTGGGATCTGCACCAGCAAGCATGTCAGGAGAGGACTCTCAAACACATCCCAGCCTGCCACTACCCTGCACACCCTATGGAGTAGACGTGGCCTACAACAGCTGCTCAGGCCACCTGGCCTTCAGACTGGGGACAAGGGATGTGCGTTTCACCTCACAGTACATATGGAAACCGCGCCATCCTCCCCATTTCTGCTCAGACAGTGGCAACAGCTGTGGGCCTGACCTCTAGTGCTGGTCCCCACGTTCTTCAGCCTCCCTCAGCAGGCACTGCTTGGCAACATCTGGACCCCAGCACGTTGTCCCTCAGATTCACAGGTCCTTTAGGACACCTCCCTGGCCTGGCAGCCCTGGCTCTCTCAGGATCCGCACTTGTCTCTACGCTAGAGTGCAGAGACCCACACTGTAACCCTCCCTGGTTCACCATCTCCCCAAATCCAGGCTGCCTCACAGGCTGAACTCTTGAAACAGTGCTAGGGGAAATTCCTGGTTAAGAACCACGGTCTCGCCTGGCAGGTTCCAAGGACAGGGGTTGTTCATATTCACTGTGAATCTCACATACAAGGTGGAACTTAAAACTTGTTTCTTAAGCTGATACATGTTTGCTACATGGCTATTAGCCTGGGGCACAAGATTCCACAGTTTAGCAAAGTAATTCTTACTGAGTTCAACTGAGCTAAGAAAAATAAGGTTGGCATTAATAATATTTATTGGACAATCTTTATGAAGGGTTTTTTTTTCCTTTATGTTTTTGGTACATGGTCTCACTATGCAATTCAAACTCAGTGATCCTCCTGCTTTCAGCCTCCCAGGGCTGGGATTACAGGCATGTGCTAACACACCTGGATTCGGTCACTGGTTTAGTGCACCCCCGGGCAGAGCTGGGGCAGCATGTGGGACCGGGGATTAAACCCTGGACCCTGCACTTGCCAAAGCAGGCGCTTAGTCTGCTGAGCTATCTTGCCCACCCTTTATGAAGTATTAACATATGTAGGTGATAAAAAACTGAATTTCTTCCTCTGGCCAAGATTAAATGAATTAGCTGAAAGAGTGCTGTGGAGAATGGTCACAATGATATCAACCCAAACTCATCCCCTCCACCACCTGCCTGCTGCTCCAGCTCAGGGCCCTGAAACTCTGGCCGTGGGCGAGCAGGGCACCCACCTATGACACCTGCAGGTGGGGAGCCACTCCAGAGTGCTCGCTGCAGGCCAGCGTGCAGTGCAGGTGCAGAGAGTGCGCAGCTCCAGACACAAATCCAGAGAAAGACGTGGTGTACTGAGCTGTCGCTGCTTCTGGGCCATTATACACTAGGAAACCTTGAACTGGGGCCAGAAGAAAGAACACTGTGCCCAAGACTAAAGACAGAGACACTGCCTGCGACCAGGCTCCTGCGGTAACAGAGCCGAGAGGCCTCGGGACACAGGCTGGGAGGATCAGGAATCACTCAGCCACAATGCTTCCTCTCAAGCAGCCTTGTTGCTGCTGGGAAAGTGAAACAGATACTCTAGATCAGGAGAGAAGCAAAGGAAAAGCTACTGATGGGCCGAGTACAGACCAGGCTTCAGTGGTAGTGACTTCAACTTTTTGGTAAAATGAACAAGAATTGCCTGGAATCCCTGTACTTGGGAGACTGAGACAGGAAGATCTCTAAGAGTTTGTGACCAACCTGGGGGCTACAAAAATGAGCACAGGGGGGGCCTGGCCCTAGCTCAGTCCTTTAAGTGGCTGCTTCCACAAAGCTGTCAGCCTCAGGTTGCTGGAGTTCGAACCTCACAACTCTCCCGCTGGCCAAAAGTGCCCTGAAGGCATTCGAGGAACAACAACAACAACAAAAAAACATTATTCCATTTGGGGGCCTGGCCCTAGCTCAGGCCTTTAAGTGGCTGCTTCCACAAAGCTCTCAGCCTCAGGTTGCTGGAGTTCGAACCTCACAACTCTCCCGCTGGCCAAAAGTGCCCTGAAGCCATTTGAGGAACAACAACAACAAAAAAATCCTTATTAAAAAAAAAAAAAAAAAAAAAGAGCACAGGGCCAGCCTGAACTGCATAGCAAGATCCTGTCTTTAAAAAAAAAAAAAAAAAAGGAAAAAGAATTTTCTTTTAAAAATCTACCAAAAGAGATGCACAAATAGACACTCAGGTCATGGCATACTATGCGGGTACTTCCCACTAACCTCAAGTTCCTTAGTGTTTCTATGTATTCACTAGACAAACATTGGCCGGTCATTCGTAACAGGACAATCTTTAAAGAAGTCATACACATTCCCTGCCTTTAAGGAGCTCACAGTCAACGCAGTCCCAAGGAAAATGCTAAGGGAGAGACTCTCCCCAGAGGGCAGAGGAGGATAAAGGGGAGGGAGGGGCTGGGGAACAGAACAGCCCAGCTGGGTGGGACGCTTACACAGCTGGAGCACAGAGCCTGGGCCCAAGCAGAGCAGAAAGTGTCACTTCTAAAATTCAGGGATGACGAACAGAGGTGGTCAAGCTAAGCCTGTTTTAAGAGTCTACATTTCCCACTTTGTAAGTCTCCTTTGTGAAATGAATTTCAAGTCCAAAAAGAGGTAAAAATGGGTCCTAAAACTTACTGTGTGTGTCTACATCTACTTCCTCCTCTTGGATGGCCCTCAGGGTGCTTGTCCGACTTTCTGGACTGAGAAGCTGGTCTCCAGGCCGCACTGCAACTGAAAAAAGCAGAGCAGATGAGACCCTCCAAGCAGGCCACCACCCCACTCTACTCACTCCTCCACTTCTGCACGGGCCTTGCAGAGCTTCACAGGGACATCTGTGTCAGTGAGGTCTACACTGTCTTCTATTTGGTCAAGCAGAAAATAGCAGACAGGACCGGACTCGGTACCTGTCTCGTTAATCATGAATGTGTGAGGCAGGTGCTGCTACACAAGGGTTCCCGAGTATCCTGCGGGCCACCTCCACCCCCGAGGCTGTTATCACACAGTTCGTGATTCATCACTGCTACAAGCACCACAGTAACCCAAAGACGCCGGGCTTTCAAAAATTAATCCCTGAATCTTCATTTTCAAGTTGACTACAAATGCCCAGATGAAAACAATTTAAACAATGAAACATCAAAAGACCACTCTATAATGTCTAATTTAAAAATACAAAACTTCAAAACACCCTCTAACATGTAAACTATAATGTCCAATTTTTTAAGCATTCTGGCCAGTGACCCTCACCGAGGACACGGCACTGTTCCTTGAGAAGAATGAGTCACTTTAATTTTATAATACATTAGTACTACAAAGCAGTATAGAAACAGCATTTCGAAGCTAACAGAAGACAAGCCATCTTTTGAATGTAATCTTATAATCATTTAAGACTAAAAATGAAACACAGTCAACTAGGACCAGAGATCAAAGAGATTAAAGGAATATTGTTTAGAAAGCTGAAACTCCAAAATCTAGACATGTTAACTAGAAAAGCTAATTTGAATTAAATTCTGGCACAGATGCCAAGATTCTGGAGGTAAAGAGATGGGCTTTCCAACGATAAGGCCCCACTCACCCACCCCCTCAGCTGAAGCTCCTGGAGCGTCGGGGCCCAGATGAATTGTGTGGGGACGCACTGCCCACTGCCACTTCCACTGGGCAGGGACATGGACTTACTTGCTTCCAAGATGAATCTCACAGAGTGGATGAGGGAACAGGCATGGGTCACGAACTCAGGGGAGGAGGCCACATTCCAGAGACCCGGCTGCTGCAGGGCCAGGCAGCAGCAGTCCAGCCCAGCCTGGAGGTCCAGACTCAGTGGGATCTGCTCATGGATCAAATGCCACGACAGGGCCTAGAGGAAAGCACCGTGTCAGAAGCCACTGGCTGCCCTGCCCTCTTGGGGGCCTCTAGGAAGCAGGGCCATGCCCAGCCGATGGAGAACTGCTATGCCAAGATCTCAGGGCCAAGGGCCAGATGAGTCTGCTCTTCCCGCTCCCTGACATTCTGTCCTGACCATCACTGCCCTCCGGTCACCGGCCACAGGCTCTTCTCTGGGGTTTTTGCAGCTCAAGCTCACCTCTGTTGCACTGCTGCTCCCTACAGGGCCAGGCCCTGAGCCTCTGTGACATGTGAACATCCCACGCCACGGGCCAAGTTGGTTCCAGTAGCAGGAACCAACTATGATGGTGCACAGGCAGGCATAGAGTATGACTAGTAGCTGTCACTCTGCTGTAAGTGTACATTTGCTTTCTAGTTGTCCCCACTGGGCTGAGCCTTGAAAGACAGGCCTGACTGAGGGACACTTTTTCAGTGCCCCGGACTGATGCAGGGGACCCTCCTCTCCTTAGTGAGAGGTAGCACCTGCATACTAAGGATGGGCAGCCCACCTCTGACACTCGAAGGAACCAGGCCCTTTTCCAACATATACAGAAAAAAGGCAACACATGCCCCATGGCCCAAGAGCCTCGATTTTCTGCCTGACTTAAAACACAGCACACTGCCCAGATGATTAAAATTAGCATCTGTACCAGGGCTGCCATGCAGAGGTGAAAGGCTGCCCTGCTGATTCCTTCAAGTCCCTGTGGGAGCAGTGTGGCCAGGGGTGAGGCAACCAGTAACCCTGGGATGGGACCTAACAGCAGGTCCCTCTGGTCACGAAGGTGGGAGGTACAGCTGGCCAGACTGTCAGGCCTCTTGGTTTTCAAACAGCAGGGCTTACTCTCAGTGCTAGTCACATGGACAGCAGGATCCAGAGCGGCTCTTACCTCCAGGGTCATCACCACAAACTTCACCGTGTCTTTTTCCTTTTCAGGAGGAAGGTGTAAATGGGCTGGCACTTTGGACACCACCACCAGGTACTGTGCCAGGGCCCGGGCCAGCGTGGTAAGGGACTGGTACAAGGTGGCATCCCCTGCAACACAAAATTGCTATGGGTGGCTGCAACCCAGCACAGGTCTTCCCCATTCAAAAGTAGCCAAGCAATTCCTTGAGAACCTAAGCACAGCACTGGAGGGAACACCTTGGATGCTGCCTGCAACACCAGCCGCAGCCCTCCAACGAGGTCTGCAGACTTCCAAAGGCCTGCAACTGTGTGCGTGAGTGGCCAAGTGGCAAGCACCTGGCAAGAAATTCAGAGCTAACAGCAGCAGTGCTGTTTCTCAGCTACCTCCATCAACACTTTCAATATCTGAGATCAGTGTGTTTACTTGGTGCAAAGCACTGTGATGGCTCAGACATGTTTCTTAAAAATAAGTTATTTAAGTTACCAAATAGATCATTTAACTTGCTCCAGTAGGCTGTGGGCTCTGTGGGCAGGAAGGGCTGAAAGACTTGATGGACAGCAGGAAGCTGCTGAACGAAGCTGGTCACACGATCCAGAGTCACCCCACGGGCTGCTTCAAAAAGAGGGCTCTTCTGGCCAGCTGCAATTTCACTCAGGCTGAGGCTTAAGCATGGAGCCAACAGGCTTAGGTTGAACTCCTGAGATCAGAGCAGTAAAGGTCATACAAACGAAAACACACTATAGTTTTCAATCCCAAAATACAGTCAAGGCTAACACCAGCATTTCTGAGATGTATGGTACAGGTTAAACATACAAACGGTCCCGGGAAACACCCACTCGGTAAATGTGTATTTTATGCTCTCAGATAGGTTTGAAATAAACTCTAGTATGAGAAATTTTAATGGATAAAAGCAGAGCATCAAGGCTAATGTGCAGCCTGGTATGATGGAATATGTCTATAACTCCAGCACTTGGGAGTCTGAGGCAGGAAAATTGCCTCAAGTTCAAGGCCAGCTTCAGCCTGAACTACACAGCAAGACCGTCTCAAAAAAGCGAGAGGGAGGGAGGGAAGGAGGGAGAGAGAATGAACTAATACGCCATCTAAGAAGTAAACCTGATACCAAGCATTCCTATAGTTTGAGAAAGATATAGAAAAGCAGGTGGAATAAAGTGAAGTGGTTATCAAAATGATGAAATTTTGCTTGGAAAAAGCAGTTTTTTTGGACAATTTGTATCATATGTATCTTCTTTTTAGCCATCTAAAGGGTTTTATTTAATTTTTTTGACAGAACACTGACTTTAGTTTAAGATTCAGAAAAGCACATTTCATCATCAGTTCCCTAAACTGAATATTCCTGCAGTTACAATTGGAAGTTTTAAAGCCGTTAAAAGCCCACTTAGTGAAAGAGAAAACTTTAATAAAACTGGCAGTAAGCAAATTTACCATTTAGTAAATAAGCTCCCACTACACAGAGCTTAAGAAGAGGCGAACTTCAGCAAACCCACTCTCGCTCTCCTGAATTTCTCCTCCTCTTCAGGGCATTTCCTGAATACCTTTGTTCAGAATGTACCCAGTGCTGTTCACTGACAGGCCTAACCTACTCTGTGGGTCTCAATCTTGGCCGCGTTCCTACTGGGAACATGTCAAGGCAGGACCAGAACACCACAGGCCAGGTAGCTCTTCCTTCTCAATGGTTTGAGGAGGACCACAGGGCTGAGGCAAATCTAAGAGAAGGGACCACGCCTCACAGGATCTGCCCAGGCACTCTAGAATGGGTCTACCCATGCAGCCACGGCCTCTGGGCTGCTGTGCTATGTGCCTCTAATACCTGGGGTGGTGTGGGCACTGGAGAGTATCACATCAGTTTCTAAAATACCACAGACAAGGTACTAAAATCATGCATGATGCCAATGACATAACAGCTCACTTCACTACTATGAGACAGCAACGAAACACTGGCTGCACTGGCCACTATGTTTCCTTTCATGACTGGAAGGCTGAGTTACAAACAACTCACCTTTTTGAAGCCTAATGTGGTTGAAGGAACAGCCTGCTCCCACTTGGAACAGACCCCTAGCCCTGTGCCATCCCTATCTAACTAAAGCCTCCCTCGAGTTCCCATTGTAGTCGAGGCTTCCACATGCCATCCCTGCTGGCACCAGTGCTCGTGCCTATGGTATATCGATCACAGGAAGAAGAGACAAATCCAACAGAGACAAGACAAGCCACAGCGACGGTCCCACTGCCCCTACCGAGCTCATCATGAAAACACGCATGTCCTCAGCAGGGAGGCGATGCACCAGCTCTGCACCTTCCAGCAGCGCAGAGTCCGATCTGGTCCAACACTGTGACCTGACAAGGCGGACGTACCAGTCCTGGGTAAAAGAAGATGGTAAAGGAGTGTGACCAGGCAAGGATTTGAGTGCCTATCCTGGTAATACTGGGCCCCTTATCGTCTTACAGCTCACCAAACCACTACCTCTTCCCAGCATTTGCTGTTCCCTCCCTGGGCCCAGAAGTTCATCAAACTCAGCAGAGTCCCAAGGCTCAACAGCCCCCAGCTCGCCCTACTTGCCATAATACCAGCACCCTCACTGGGTGTGTGCATGGCAGGGCTCTCTGGGAGGCTGCAAGTCTCCGAGACTTTGGTTCACTTCTCCACAGAATCCACTTGGTCCCTAACTCCAAGGTGTGAGTGAAGGCAATGGCAACACTCCGGGGCCAGTGCAGTGGCAGGGTGAGTCACAGGAGGCAGCCGATACCAGAACAGGGAAGTGAGCCAAAACGAGAGGCACAGATGTGAACATGCGCACAGCAGGCTCCAGGCTGTGAGGACCTCTCCTAACCCCACACTCCTGTCTACTCTCCCCACAACCCTAGCAGTGAAGACCTGGCTTTGCTGACTTGCCCTTTCACTACAGCTTCCTGACTGACACCCCTGCCAGCCAATGCCATGTGTTAGCACTGCCTTTCTCACTAACACCTTTATAGCCGCAGATGTCTTCTCTCCAGTCCCAACCAGAATTGCTGATGCCTTGGGCCAAGCATGAGCCCCACTGCACACTCCTGCATGCTTCAGGACGGATAGAAGCATCAATGTCTCCTGGGCTTCCAAGCATTGCATGCAAACCATCTGGACACTTACTTTGTCTGGACTTGTGTCCAGAGACGTGTGCCCATCCCCGTCCAGCGGGTGGGAGGTGACAGGGGGCAAGGGGCTGAGTGAGTCTTTCACAGTGGAAAGACGGAATCTGTCCAGCAGAGAATAGAGCCTCTGGTGTCTGAAACACAAACACAGATAACACTGCAGTGCAGTCACCTTCATCCTTGCCTCTGTTGCAAAGCAAGGTTCCAGAGACACACGCCACAAGGAAGGAACAGCAGCGCAGCGCTTCCTCAAAGTATGAAACCTTCTTCCCTTTCATACTCCTGCAGGTCAGGATACAAATTCAAACCCTCAGCTACTTTATATCATCACAGTTTATACTTCACTGAAATCTGCCAGGAATCTTGTTTCTATCAAACACTGCAACAGGCAGTCCAAGGTGCTACATTAATGCGGGAATTCTTACTACTGCATAGGCAAAAGACGCAATCTCCTACACACCAGGCACACAGACTCTATTCATGCTCCCCAAAGGGCACAATTTCTATCGTTATGGAAGGTCACTCCATAAAAGAATGCCTTCATCTGGTGCAAGGCATTTACAATCTTGGCCCTCTAAGACTGCCTTCATGACAGAACCATTCTCTCTCACATACACTTCCCCCAGGCAGTGGAGGAAAGGAAAAAGATGTTCTTAATTTACTTCGCAGTCATGGAAATAGGTTCACATTATAGATGTACACATTTCTAACAAGGGCTTCAAAAGACATTCAAACAGAATCAGGTGCCTGAACAGTCATGAAGAGACACAACTTTTAATAAGATATAGAAATAATTCTTGGCTGCCAAGAATTGAGAAATGCTTTTAGGCTTATCAAGCCACTGGAATGTGCTTTGATTTTGCTATGGTAAAGCTCAGATTCCCATTTGTTTCCCGGGCAGTGACAGAGGCAATAGAGTACCTACTAGCCCCACCCCGAGCAGCCAGGATGGTGCAGGTGTGCTCCATACCTGTGGCATATGAGAGGTTGCCAGGTGCTTTTTACTCTGATGAAGTGCGGCCCCACTGTGTGGGATGTAGGAAGCCTTCCTAGGGTGTCACTTCTGCAAGAAACCCGCCTACAGAGCTGATCTGTTTTTCAACCCATCAATCTACCCCATGCAAGTCTAAGTCTTTGTGTCCTGGGCAATCTGAACACCAGTCCCACCATGTCGCAGCATTACCTCCGTGCAAGGCCACTGCTCTGGAGGTGCTCCTGGATTCTGTTCAGTTCTCCTACTGGCAACTGTGCTGTGCTGCTCTAAATACACAAGGACACATCAGTGGGTTTGAAACACATAAGGAAAAAGAAATAATCCTACATCACTTGAAAATAATACTTCTGTGTACAGTTCATGGAGTACGGGTAGACTAAAAGCATCTGGATCAGACACAGAATGACACACACAGCCCACACACTTCTAGCAGGAACCACAGCAAGACTGGGCCTATGCTGAAGAAAAGCCAGGCAAATGATCTGCTTGCCCTACTAAGCTTTACATAAATCAGGATCAGTGTTTCTCCTGTACCTGTAAGTTTGCAGCCAGCAGCATTTCTACCCGGCGACAGGCCAGGGTGTCGACCCTGCGAGCTAGTGCACGGAAAGGGGTACCCAGCAGCCTGTCCACGTACAGTGTCAGCACTGTGCCTGACTGGCTGAGGTGGATGCCTTCCAAGCACTGCAGCGTCTTCTTCAGAGTGGTTGGCTAGTATTCAAAGAGGAAGGACAGGAGCTGATTACTTGGGTGACTGGAAACCAGCACTCAGAAAGCCCGAGTATTTCATTTTTAAGGCACAGGAAACCAACTGGTGAGAATCAGCAGAATGAAGACTTACAGTGGAAAGATTTTCACAACGAGACTGGATTGCCTGGATGAAAAGGCCACTGGCGGCGGAATTCCGATGGACAGCACTGATGAAGTCTTGCACCGGAGGCTCGTGGGAAAGACTGATAAGATCCTGAATGTGGTTCACGATGAGCCATGTTAGGTGCTCAGAGTCGTGGAGGTTCTGACACTGGGAAAGATGCAACGCAACTCATTTTCAAGCAGCCAGATAGTAATGCCATAGAGAAAGTGAGAGGGTAGGAAAGAGGAGGCACGGAAGAGGTACAAAACCCAACTGACAATGCCTCTCACCTCCAAACACAAGCTTCAGCATAGGTCATGGCTAGGTACATGGCCAAAGGTCAGAGGACCAAAAGAACACGAGCTGTTCCATGGACCAGCCTGCCCACATACTACACGTTAGCCCTGGGCAGCCAGGGCAGCCAAGTGGCCTGGAGCTGACTGGGGGGTCTGAAGCACCAGTACGCGCAGGAATGAGAAATACTTCCTGCCACAGCAGCTGTCAAACCTCCCAGCTCCAGTCTGGCCACCTTGTGACAGTTGAGTGGGGAAAAAGTCCACAGTCACTGCAACAGTTCTCGCAGAACTCTTGAATCCCAAAAGACTGTTGGAGTGCCTCAAATATTAAATGAAAGAAATTTTACTTAAGATTTATAAGGAAATACGAAAAGGCTATTTTTAAAACACATATAGCATTTTCATCTTAATTCATAATCTTTTAAGGCAGAAACCAAAATATGATCAATTCCTTGGTAGCTGCTTAGCGCTGACTAGTGCTCTGCATCTAGGGTTACTTGACATTATTAACATATAAAGCTATCTTTCTTTTATAGTTTTATAAAACAGCATTATATAATCAGTTCTCTTACAGTCAAATAAGATGGAAAAAGATGTTTCAAATATTAAGCAAAAAAATGAACGTTAGGAAACTGCTGCCACCGTGGAAACACTCCATGAGCACATCTAGTTGATGTCACCTTTTTCTGATTCAGACTATCTGACAGTTTGCTATGCGACAACAAACCAAGCCTGCAACAGAGAGATGTGTGTATTTTGACACAGGCATGGCCAAAGCGTTCAATCCAAGAAAATTCAACAGCAGGTTATCTTTGAAAAACACAGTTACAGAACATTCTCTTTTCTTCTGTTTAAACATGTGATACTACTTGTTTAAACATGTGATACTACTTTTGAGATTAAAAACAGTACAGAAGTGGTTTTTTTAAAATGGCATTCAAACAGGACTCCATTTTAAAATGTAGCAATAAGTAGTTAACACTTTTTTTTTTTTTAACATTTAGTGTGTGTGTGTGTGTGTGTGTGTGTGTGTGTGTCCAGCTCAGCCCACCAGGGGGCGGGGCTGGCTGGCATGTGGTGCTGGGGGATCGAACAGTGGTCCCTGTGCTTTGCCAAGCTTGTTCCAAGTAGGTGCTTTAGACCACTGAGCCATCTCACCAGCCCCCAGTTAACACTTTTTGAAAAAAAAAAAAAATTAAAGCAGAAGCCCACAATGGTCAACACACTTAGTTTGTTTTTGAAATTATGTACCCTTCAAGTGCTTCAAAGGCCCAGCATTATGTCTCTAGGCGCAGAGCAGTTTCAGGGCATTGCTGACTGCTTGAGACAGCTGAATGAAACCCTGGAGACACTGACAAACCTAGGAGAGAAGGACCAAGCCTGATTCCTAGTCACACACAGTGGATTTAACATCACTCCCAATTAAAAAAATTTTTAGTACAGGGTCTCACTACACAGATCAGACTTGTAGTGATCTTCCTGTGTTCAGCCTCCCAAGCGCTGGCCCAGTCTCAGGCTCTGTCTCAGCAAGTCCTGGGGGCGGAGCCAGCACGTACCCAGTGCCTGGCCAGCCCATCACTCCCACTTCTGATGGGACTGGGGGACAGTGGGCGGTGTGGTCTCCAGCAGTCCACACAGCATTATTCATGTCTCCTGCTTTCCCCACCTCCATTTGGGAATCTGCAAACTTACAACATAGTCACAGAAGAGAATGAGGGCTCCTCTTCGCACAATTTCTCTATTGCACATTCCAAGTTGAGCTGTCAAATCAGAGTCCTCTTCCTCGCTGGACACGTGGGAGCTGAGTGACTTCGTGCACGACAGACTGTGTCTCCTGCTGAGTGACAGAGGCACTGAGAGCGTGCGTGGCATGGCCTAGCGTGCTGCACTTGAGTTACACTTTCTTTTTCTTTTTGGCGGTACCAAGGACTGAACTAAGGACCTTGTGCTTGTCAGGCAGGTGTTTATTCTACTGAGATATCTCCCTAGTCCTTGAGTTCTACTTTTGAGCTTGCTACAGCAGAATGGTGTGTGATGACAGTTGTCTAGTTACCTGTTCCTGAGCTCCAATAGAGCACACAGGAAAAACTAAGGCACACAGAGGATGGTGCAGCTAAAAGGCAAAAATCCACCCAAAAGGTCACACCTTTAGGATACCCTTTCTGCAGAATCCAGTGGTGGAGTAGGGAAGGGCAGCCCACAAAGGATAAGAAAAAACTGCTTAAAATGATAGCACTGTTTGTTGCCTGAGTACCGCCAGTATTGAAGTACATTTTCCTCAAAATTTTATGTCTATTAAAAAGCTGTCAAGCACAAAACCTGCTTTTCTGTCACTTGTGTGACTCATTCTCTCAGTTACAGAGCCTCTACTGGACAGCAAGTGGTGCCTGCAACTCAAACACTAGCAGCATACATACAGGGGGTCCAATATCCACCCAGAGTTAGCCCCAGTTTACAGCAGTATAAGACCCATCCCAAACTCAGGAAAGACACTGCTGGCAAATAAATACCCTGAGTCCAGGCTGACTTCATCTGTGGGACTCACAAGGGGATGAGCTGGGAAAAGACTGACATGCGGCCCATGGCCATGGCGGGGCCAGGACCCTTACAGTCCACCCAATGTTAAGCAGATAAAAGCAAATCATAAACCCATAGTGTCAGTCCAGAAAAGGTAGACAAGAGAGCAGAGCCCACATGGGACTTCTGGAGCCATGCTACCAGTCAAGTGTGGCCTTAGACCTGCTGCCCTCCTGAGGCAAAGGCAAAAAGGCAGGAGTGAAGAGGACTGGGTTTGTGTTGTACATTAACTTGTGCCACTGGGTAAGTTATTGACTCCCTGGGAAGCAGAATGAACAAAGCCCTTAGTGACTGCAAATCTTTTAGAGCTTTCATTGCTAACAAGTAACTCATCAGGCCTGCACCAGTCTGCCACCACTGCTCTAGAACAGCACCTGACACAGAGCTAACCTACATGCGGACGGTCTTTACCACTGTTTTAGTATTGCTTCCACCATCGGAGTAACTGAATCACTAACTCAAGTTACTGCTGGGAGTGTGCGCATGTGTATGTATGCTTGCATGTGTACACACACATGCTAAACGCAGACAGAGCCCAGCTCCTCGCGGCTTGTGGGCCACTGGAAGCAACGGGCGTCAGTCAGAGCATCACAAGATAAAACCCTCCGTTTTGGCCCTGACACCACCAAAGAGCACGAAGGCTAGCAGTGAGCAGCACCCCCAGAAGGAAGGGGAGCCAGGAGTCTGAGCTGACCACCAAGAGATGAGGCTGTCACAACTCTGGTGACATACGGGCAAAATCGCAAACTCAATTGCAGCTCAACTCTGAAACATCGCAGTAAGTGAATAACTACAAATAAGGCCGGCATCTGCGCCCAGAGCGCCCTCGCTCGCACCAACCCCAGCAGATGCTCTTAAGTCTCACTATGCAATTCCGGCTCCCTTGAACTCACTCTGCAGCCTTGAGCTCAAGGGACTCTCCGGCCTGGGCTACACAGGTGTGCCAGTGCCCCTGGCCGAGGTGACGGCCTTCTGTAAGCTCGTCTGTGACACTCCCGTCCCCAGAAGCTGAATCCCCCCTCTTCCACCCTCTCATCCCCAGAAGCTGAATCCCCCCTCTTCCACCCTCTCATCCCCAGAAGCTGAATCCCCCCTCTTCCAC